TGACCCAAGCCATGGTATTTTCAATAACCTCATATGCATGCAAAAGGTGGACGGTGAATAAGGAAGACCGTAGAAGAATTGATGCTTTTGAGTTATGGTGTTTGAGTAGAATATTGAAAGTGCCAGGGGCTGCCAAAGGAACCAGTAGATCACTTTGGAAGAAGTGCAGTCAGAGTGCTCTTTGGAGACCATGATGGCCAAACTTTGTCTGTCATACTTCGGACATATTGTTAGGGAGGGACCAGTCGCTGGAGAAGGATATCATGTTTGGTAAGGTGGAAGGTTAGAGAAAAAGGGGAAGACCCCCAACGAGAGATGGATTGGCCAAGTGGCAGTATCAGTGGACTCAAGCATGGTAACAGTAGTGAGGTTGGCCCAGGATTTGGCAGTGTTTCATTTTGCTGTACATAAGGTTGCTATGAGTCGGTACCGACTTGGTGTCACCTAACAACAACAAATAAAAGCAGCAAATTATGAGGTTTCTTTAAGGAATGTGTTATGAAACTAGCTTATGTAGGTGAATATGGTTGTGGTGCTGTAGGATAAGCACTGGACTGCTCACTGCAAGCTCAATGGTTCATTTTCATAGTTGTTGTTAAGTTCCGTTGAGTTGGTTCTGATTCATAGTGACCCTGTATAGGGTTTCCAAAGAGCAGCTGGTTGAGTTTTGAACCGCCAACCTTGCAGTTCAAACCGTGCTTATGGTGCAGTGCTATCCTACAGTGCTATCCATTTACGTTGTTGTTAAGTGCCATGAAGTCAGTTCCCACCCACAGCAACCCTGTGTAGGGTTTCTGAGGAGCAGCTGGTGGGTTTGAACTGCTGATCTTGAAGTTCAAACTTTACCTTTCAGTCCAGCGCATTATCCTGCCATGCCACACCATTCATGTTAGTGGGTAAAAATAGATTCGAAGGAGAGACAACATTAAGCAATAAATTAAGTAGCTACTTTGCTAATTCAAGTTTGAAATTTAAATAAAACACTAAGATATAGTAAAAGTAAAAATGTGAAGGTAGCAAGAGACTTGTGAAATAAAGAGTTAAGTTTTAGATGTTTAAATATTGTAGGAATTTCAGGCAACAATCCATTTGGACAGAGAAGCTGGAGTTAGAGATGTCAATTTCTATATTCTTTTTCTATTTTTAAAAAATCTGTCATTCCCATAACTTAGGGTGATTGAATGCAGGGTCAGGTTTTCGTTTTTATATTTGCCATTGTACTTAGGATATTACTTAACCCTAAATGGTAAATTAAATTTCATAGAGTTACTGATTAATGTGACAACTTAGATGATGCATCTAAAGAAGTTGTTAAGTGCCATCGAGTTGGTTACAACTTACAGCATCCCTGTATAGGGTTTCAAAGGAGCAGCTTGTGGTTTTGAACTGCTGACCTTGTGGGTAGTAGTCCAATGCTGATCCTACAGCGCCACACTAGGACTCCATCTGATGGAGAAAGGAGCTGACAGTGGAGTTTTGGGATTTGCTTGCATTTGAGAACAGCAGCAAAGCTAAAGGCATAATGTAAGCAGGAGGGAAGGTAGTTAACACGGTGGGCTTGGAAAAGAGTGAGGATCCCTCTTTCTCTGACCAAATAGCAGGATTCAGAAGTGAATATGGAAGAAGAGTTGGCGCTCTAGAGCCTTTGTTCTTTTTCTGTTCTGAGTTTTCTCTTTCTGTCTACTTCTGTTTTTTGCTAGGTTTAGCTGTAGCCGCAGAGGTGAAGAATAAATCCATCTTAAGCAACTAGCCACTCTGTTCTTTTCTTCTTCTCACTCCAGTGTAGACTTTTACTCACTATTTGAAGGCTAACAACACTGGCAGTTTTATTGTATACTGCATTTTTATTGTATACAGCAGTATTGTATACCTTGCCAACCTATTCTAGCACTGAACAAGTGTTTTCTTTGTTTTTTAGGTGGTAAAGACTGGTATTGAGCAAGGGAAGGATGCTGGCTACCTCTGTGAATCTCAGGTAAAGTTAAAGTTATTTTCTTTTTTATTGTTATTATTAGGTATAGAAAAACCAAAAATGTGATTTTCTCTATAAAGCTGAAAAAAAGAAAAATTATTCGAAGCCTAATCTGAGGGAGCAAGTTGATGCTGAGGAAAGCCTGGCATCTGCAGATGTGTGAACGTGCTCTTAGTCATGAGGGGCCAGTTGGAAACAGCATGAACAGAGTTACAGCCCTTTCACAGTGAATTCACTCTGCTGGTCCTAGAATTGGCTGTTTTATTGTGATGAAATGATTATATTAACAGAATGTTAAGGCTTTGAGATAAAACTGAAGCCCAGGCTCTTTTTGGCAAATTAGAAAATGAAAGGAAGTGTTTCGTACCCAGTTAAAGAAGACAGAACTGACCCCTTCCACTTTTCTAGTTTGTGTGATGATATTGCAGATGTAAATGCAGAATTGGGTGGGGAGGAGTAAACAACAATTTTAAATGACTTCCTTATGACAATAAGGAGCTCTGGTAGTGAAGTGGTTACGAGTTGGGCTGCTAACCTCAAGGTCAGCAATTTGAAACTACCAGCCGTTCCGTGGGAGAAAGATGAGGCTTTCTGCCCCCGTAAAGACTTGCAGCCTTGAAAATCCTGTCTACGTAAGGTCATTATGAGTCGGAACCAACTCCACAGCAAATAACCACCACCACTCTTTGACAACAGGGCAAAAGATAACCAGAAGAGATCAAGATAGGTTCTATAGAAAATATCAATGTTGATTTTTTTTTCCCCCGAACATCATAATCAGATACACATATTCATATATGTAAAAAAAGTGAAACAAGTTTTACAAGTCAGTAATTTTCCTGACCATGTACATTATACTCAGTATTTTATATGTATTTTTTGTGTATTATGCTTATCATAACCCAGTAAATGAATGGCCAGCGATGGATCTTTACCCACATTTTGAAAATACTGGTTTAATGACTAACCATGCTGTGTCCAGATGCTTATTAAAGCATTGAATATGTGCAACATTGTTTCATATTCTATTGGGCATGAAAGTAACTTTATTCAAAGAATTCCTTCTTTGAAATGCTAACTGAATTGTATCAGTACATGCTGACTTTATGTATCCTAACTTAATTATATCTGTACACGTTAGTAATCTTAATAGCTAGAGTTGAACTCCTTCACATTTTAATCATGTTCTCGTTTAATCTTCACAATAATATTGTAAAATAGGTACTTTCCTACTTGAAGGAGGAAGAAAGTTTTACAGCTGGGAAGTGACAGAGTCAGGATTTAAACCCTTTTCTGTCAAACCCAGACTTAAACTCTCATGCTCTTAACCCCAAATCGAGGCTCCTTCTCTGTGTTAGATGCTTTTTAAAGTGATAGGCATCATGTTGGGAGCCTACTATAGTGGAACAAAAACTGAGTTCAAGTTCTATTTCTGCCACTTAGAGACAGTGTGACTTTGAACACAATCGCATTTCTCTGGTTCTCCATTTCCCAATCTTTAAAATGAGAGATGGAGAAGGTGATTGTGAAGATTCCTTCTGGCTCTGACACTCTGATTCTAGGAAAAAGGTTAGTTACCACAGCCTCTTGGTATAGACAGTCTGCGATCTCTGTTACACCTAAACCTTCTTCAAAGCATTGGTCTGAAAGTGTTTCAGATAAAAGAGACAAAGGGAAGCCACATTGGTGAGGACAGACTTCTGTAGCACAGACACCACTGAGTCCTTGGAGAACTTTAGGCTTTTCATGAGTTGCCTCTGCTCTGCATAGAAACTGGAACAAAAGGGATCACATCACCTAGACTGTGAAGGCCTATATTCTGTTGTCCCTTTTACTTTGCAGAAATTTGGGGAGCTTGCTATGACCAAAGAATCAAAGGCCTTGATGGGACTTTACCATGGTCAGGTCCTGTGCAAAAAGAATAAATTTGGAGCTCCACAGAAGGATGTTAAGTAAGTTAAGCTGGACCTATGTAAACACATGTGAATTTCATAAGGTGGCAGAGCTCATAGATGTCTTTGAAAACCAATAGGGCTCGATTTATTAAATTCAGTCTTGCCTTAAATCTCTTCTGTTACAATTGCATTCTATCCCTTAATCCTACCAAGAACCTTTGGTGTTCAAAGTTCTGCCTATCCTGAGTCTTCTCAGTTGTTGAGGACTCTTGGTGTGGTGCTGTACGATAAGCAATGGACTGCTAGCCACAAGGTTGGCAGTTCAAACCCACCAGCCAGCCTCATAAACCATATACAGTGTTGCTATGAGTCAAAACCGACATGATGGCACACAGCAACATCAGAGTGGTTCTCATAGAGGCAGTTTTTTCTTTTCCTTTTGATGTCCCCCTAGAAGTTTTCTTGAATCCCTCTCAAAAGGGGTCCTAGTGGCACACTGGGTTAAGCACTGTGTTGGTAACTGCAAAGTTAGCATTAGCGTACTGATTCTGAGTCAGGCTGCTAACCTCAAGGTCAGCAGTTCAAAACTACCAGCCATTCCACAGGAGAAAGATGAGGCTTTCTGCTCCCGTAAAGATGTATAGCCTCGGAAATCCTATGCAGGGTCACTATGAGTCGGAACTGACTCCACAGCTCACTACCACCAGTAGCAGCAGCCACTCTATAGGTGAAAGGTGAGGCTTTGCTCCTGTAAAGATTTGCAGTCTCAAGACACCCTAAGGAACAGTTAGTTCTACTCTGTCCTATAGGGTAGCTGTGAGTCAGAATCAACATTACAGTAGTGGGTTGGTTTTTTTTTTTTTTTTGGTTTTCCTAAACCAAAAGGAATCCTGCTGGTACAGTGGGTTAAGTGCTAAGCTGCTAACTGAAAGGTCAGAGGTTCAGATCCACCAGCTGTTCCATGGAAGACAGATGTGACAATCTGCTTTTGTAAGATTTACATACTTAAAAGGAAGCCCTATGGGACAGTTTTCTATCCTGTAAGGTAGTTATGGGTTGAAATCGACTTGACTGCAAAGGATTTGGTTTGGGGTTATAAGTATGCACTGTTTAATAACCTTATCTATCCCTTGACTTTAGATAATATCCCTGGTTACTCACATTTCTTCATTTAAAAACTTAAGTCCTAATTTGTTGTTGTTAGGTCCAGTCAAATGGGATCCAACTCATAGTAGCCCTAGGATTTCCGAGGAGCAGCTAGTGGCTTTGAACAGCTGACCTTGCAATTAGCAGTCTAGTGCTTATCATGTAGCACCACATCAAGACTGTGGAGAAAAGGCTGCTATTAAGTGTCTGGAAGTCGATTCCGACTCATAAGGACCCTGCATAGGGTTTCCAAGGAGTAGCTGGTGGATTTGAACCACCGACCTTACAGTTAGCAGTCCAGTGCTTATCTGACAACACCATACCAGAACTCCTAAAGCCTTACTGACACTGTTGGAATCTTGCTCTTCTCTAAGCTACCATCAAAACATGTTAGGTTCTCTGCCTGTTTCGTGGCCATTCTCTGTAGCTCATCTTTAATATTATATGTGCTCCTGTGTGGTAAGTATAATAATGCATATGAAGCCATTTCAGAATGCTAAGGTGTCAACCAAGTAGTCTTAACAAGTTCAAGAGGAACTTGTTGTTGTTAGGTGTCATCAAGTTGGTGTTGACTCATAACAACTGTATGTACAGCAGAACGAAACACTATTCAATCCTGGGCCAACCTCACTACTGTTGCCACACTTAAGTCCATCGATGCTGCCACTTGGCCAGTCCATCTCATTGGGGGTCTTCCTTTTTTGCTCTGATCCTCCACCTTACCAAACAAGATATCCTTCTCCAGTGACTGGTCCCTCCTGACAATATGTCTGAAATATGAGAGACTAAGTTTGGCCAACCTGGCCTCCAAAGAGCACTCTGGCTGCTCTTCTTCCAAAACGGATCTATTGGTTCTTTTGGTAGCCCATGGTACTTTGAATATTCTCATTAGGGGTGGAAAAAGAAAAAATGTGTGTATGGGGCTAATTGAGGAGGGATAAGAGACAGAAACAGATACTATCCTTCCATGATGTCCAGACATCATCAAAGATCAGTATAATTCAGAATCTTCTTAAGTATACTAGTTCTTTTAGACCTAATGGATTTTTGCACTTAACTTTGAAAATTGATTACTTACGAAAGTATGTTTTTACAGATAAAAAAGTTAAACACCTTACTGTTGTGACTACCTTAGTTGGCTTTTTAGAGGCTCTCTCTCCCTGGATAATTTGGAAAATCGCCCGTTTTTACTGAAATGAATAAGAGTTTTGTCCTTTCATTTCAGGCATGTAGCTATTCTTGGTGCGGGGCTGATGGGAGCCGGCATTGCCCAAGTCTCCGTGGATAAGGGGCTAAAAACTATACTTAAAGATGCTACACTAACTGGGTTAGGCCGAGGACAACAACAGGTGTTCAAAGGGTAAGTCTGTTCTCTGTCCTGTCTCTCTGTTAGTGGTAGTTATGATGTTTTTTTTTCTCCTTCACAAGTTCCTTTTTCCTGAATATTAATCATCATTAGATATACCATAGTTACACCAAGTTTCCTTCTTTTCACCTATTTTTACAGCTGTTATACAACTTCTGGTGTGGTGCTATGGATCAGCACTGCACTATGAACCACAGGGTGGATGGTTCAACCCACCACTTGCTCCTCATAAACCCTATATAGGATCACTATGAGTCGGAACCAACTTGATGGCACTTAACAACAACAGCGTAGACCATTAATATCTCCAAGTACAGATCTGTTAGATATTTTTAACTGTCGCTTGCCTTATGCTTTAATATCATATTAGAAATTCTGAAGTGTGTGAGTTCTGATACTGTCCTTATTTAACGGCTTTATGGTTATGGATCACAGAAACTGCAGTGTGAGGTAGCAGCACACTGTAGGTGGGGCTGGAACCAGAGCTCTTGAACTTTGTGTGTCTTGACTGGCATTACTATAGACAAGCAGTTTACTGATTTGGCTCCACAGTGTCTGAGACTTAACAGACAGTCTCCATCTTAACTCTGAATTAATAAACGGTCAGTATTACTTTCTCTCTACCCTGCCTATCCCCCTGCATCCACCCCACCTCACCCCACCCCACTCTACACACACATCATCTATTTTTGCAGAGGGGAAAAATGAAGCAGTAACTTGAGCAAATTGGGAATTGGTTTCAGCATACTTTTCTGTGGGCAAGCTGGCTGTGCTTGTCTGTCCTGCATGTGATTTTTAGCTGAGTGAGCTATTTTTGGTTCTTTTAATGGATTATGTAAGCTTAAGTATGTTGTTATCCCTTCTCTGCAGGCAAGTTTATATGTTGCTACCATATGCTACACAGGATCTGGCAGGTTGAGTCTTGTTGGCAGCTTCTCATTGCTATTAAGTGCCATCGAGTCAGTCTGCTGACTCATAGCGACCCTGTATAGGGGTTCCGAGGAGCAGCTGGTGAGTTTGAACCACCAACTTTGTGGATCAAACTGACCTTGCAGTCCACTGCTTTATTCCACAGCACCACACCAGGACTCCTGTTGGCAGCTAGCAAGGAGTAAAAGATTCTGACCAAAAAACTATGGCACCCAAGACATATCATGGTCAAGCTCTCCAAACTCAAAGATAAGGAGATGCTTCTGAAAGCAGCCAGAGAAAACAGAAAGGTCACATATAAAGGCAAGCAAGTCAGATTAAGTTCAGATCTCTCAGCAGGAACCATGCAAG